AACGTACCCCCAAGGTGATCTTATTGCAACTTGTATTTTAGAAATATGTTTATTTTTAAGAAATGTTTTGGAGACAGTTTTTCAGAGAGATATACGAACAAAATAAAACGATATGATAAATTTAAAGAGTAATACAATATAATAAGATGTTAAATAAGTTTTAATATTGTTGGATATTTGGAAATTAAACTTGTAAGTTTTATATATTAAAAAGTATAAACATTCTATTTGTGTTATTTAAATATTAAAAATTAATATTCCACACACAATTTCTATTATTCAAGTGAATTTTGTTTCTTTAAATATATAAATAATTGATATTTTATATAAAATTATATATAATTTTTATATTGTTCGTACACGTATGTCTTAATAATATATTTAAAATTAAAAAATTACTTATATATATATATATATAATATTTTGTGTTTAAATTTAAAATAAATTAAAGTATTTTTTTTACAAGAACTAACAAAATGGTTTTGATAATTTTATAAAGATTAAATAATATTTAACCTTTTTTAACAGTATAATGACAGAATTTTATTGGGCAAATCAGTAATTAAAGTAACTAAGTAAGAGTAGAGATTAATTATAAACATTTGACATTAACTAAGGAAAAAAATGAAAAAAGGTATAAATAAAATTTAACTATTTTACAGAAATTAAAAATATATTTAACTCAATATTTACTTTTGTAAAATTACAAAAAAAATAAATTCATAACATGGCGTCCTATATTATTTAATTCAATTTTTCAAATTTGTGTATATTTTCATTGTAAGGAACTTTGGTTATGGGAAATTAAGAATTAATGTATTTTATTGTGTTGTGATTTTGGTTTCTTAGAAATTTTTTATACATACCAATTCAACTGAATCAAACATTGACTCTTCGATTTGACAGACATGATTTTAGGGGGCACAATTGATGTGAATGAAGAAAAAATCATAGACAAGAAGGAAGAAAATAAAAGAAAATAATAATTTTGCAAAAATTTAGTGGATTAATGATGTAAGTAATTCTTAAATCAATTACGTACAAATGCGATTAAGTCAATTTATCTATATCTATTTATATTTATATATAAAATTTATTGTTACTATTTATTATTATATATATTTACAATAAAATTTATAATTATTAAATTTTAAAATATTTATAGTTATTTATAATGTTAATAACAACAATTATTTATTATTCTGTATATTTATATTAAATTTTATGATTATAAAAATTTAAAATATTTAGAATCAGTTACATTATTAGAAATAAAATATTATTTTTTATCTATTTATTAGTATATATATTTATAACAAAAATTATAATTATTAAGATTTAAAATATTTAAATTTATTTACATAGTTAATGATATATATGATCAAAACAAATGTTAGTAATGTTAGAAAGAAAATTAACATATTCACTATAAATTATATTTAATAATTATTTATTAAAATTAATATTTTTATATAATTTATGAATTAAAATTATATTGATTCATAATTATTATCTTTAAATTATATTTTAAAAAATCTATTAGAATTAATTTTATATAAATATTTTAAAAAAATAATTATACATTTTTAAAAAAGACAATAATAAATTTGTTATAAGTGATATTTAATAAAAATTATTTAAATTTATTAAATATTAAAACTAAAATAAAATTTATTGCAAAATATTAAAAAAAATTAATTAAATTACATAAAAAATTTTATAAAAATCGAATGAAGTTCTCAAGTGATATATATATTTTTTTTTTTGGCTAAAAACTCAACTGATATGTTAATAAAAAATGAAATTGTATCTTATTTTTAAATTTAAATGTATTAATTTAAATAATTAATTTATATTGTATATTATTAAATTATTGTTTTATTTTATAAATTATTAAATTATATTTATTATAAAAAAATAAATAAATTATAATATAAATAAATTTTTTTTGCAGCTTTTGAACTTTTTAAAAGTTCTTTCTATTACTTTACTTTATTTCTATATTTTACAATTATGTTAGTTAAAAATTATTTATCTAATTAAATATATATATTGTTAATATTCATATTTTTATTTTTTTATTAAATTATATTCATATATTTTATTTTAATTTATTGAATACGTATAAAATTACATTTAAGTAATATCATATATTAAATTTTATTTTTAATCAATTAAATTATATCAAATTTATCAATATTTTTTTAAATAAATTAATCTATAATAGTATAAATTTATATTATTTAAAATTATATTATAGAGTTGACATATCGTGTATGTCATATTTTAAAATTTATAAATAAAAATATTTATAAATATATTTAAAAAATAATTATAAAAACGTAATAAAATCTTATGTTATAAATATATTTTTAAAGAAATTTTAAACATACTAATAATAAATAAAATGTAATTAATAAAATATAATATTGTTAAATTTTGATTATCTTTATAGCACTTATAAAATATTTTTTATAGTTAAATTTAATTAAAATATATAAATCAATTTATGTAAAATTGATTATAACTACTTATTACTATATACATTTACAATAAAATTTATGTTTATTAAACTTTATAATACTCAAACTGACATAGAATTTTGGTAATACGAATGATCAGTATGAATAATTGAATATGTTAAAAATAGAACAATAAATTAATTATAAATTGTATTTAACAAAAATTTATTCAAAACTTTAAAATACTTAAAATCATATATAATTCTGGTCACATATATTATCAAAATAAATGTTGGTATATATTAAAAATAAAAACAACAAATTAACTATAAATTGTATTTAATAAAAAAATATTAAAATTAATTACAATATTTCATATATCTTAAGAATTTAAATTATAATTGATTCATAATTATTATATTTGAATTGTATTTAAGAAAAAATTATTAAAATTAATTATATATAAAAATTTATATTAATAGTTATATAATGTTAAGAATAAAAATAATATATTAATGTAATATATAAATTTATTATTAAAATATTACTGTAATTGTTGGATTTACATATTTAATATTTTTATACTATAATAAATAAATATATTATAGTATTTTAAATATAAATTAAGTTTTAATGTTATATTTATTTTTTTATATATAATTTGTTTTAACAGTGAATGAGAGTTCGTCAACTTTTTAATATTCTTTTCATATTTTAAATTTGTTTTTTTTACAATTATAAAAAAGATTTACAATCAAATAAAGACAAGAATTAATTTTGAAAATATTATAAATTTTTTTTTGAATATTAACATTTTAAACTATATTTATTTATTAATATTTTATATTCTAATTATGTAATTATTAAAAAAATTGAGATTAAAATTAAATTTTTAATGCTTTTAAATTTTTTTTGAAAGTATTTAATCATGTAATGGACTTACAATTCATTCTCCAATTATAAACTAAACTATACATAAAATATAAAGTACAATAAATATTTTTTTTTATTGATATAATTACTTATGATATCATATTCTTAAAATTAATATTAATTTAAAAGTTAAAAAATATTTTAAATTAGAATAGTCAGATATTAATATATATTTACTTATTATAAGTTAAATTTAAATATATTATTTTAAAATTATAAATTAATAATTTTATACATAATTTATTAAATAAATTTGTATTAATATTTATTTTAATTCTTAAAAAATAAAAATTAAACTCATTCAAATAGAGCTTACTTGAGTAGTTAAGTATAACACTAAACTTTATTGTTTATTAAAAATATTTATTTTCATTTTTATGTTCTTTTTAATTCATTTTTAAAAAACTTATTTTTTATTTTATATAATAACAAAAAATAACAATTTTTATTATTGAAGAGGATAAAAAATAAAATAAAATATACAAAATAATTTATATATAAAAATATATTTATTATATTTTTTAATGTAATTATATTTGATATTATTTAATATAATAAAATTTTATTGTTAGATATTTTTATATTTAAATTGTAATTTTTTGTTTATTTTAAAATAAATTAATTTAATAAAAATGTAAATAAATTTATATAACACACAAATATATTTATTAATTTATAATTAAATTATTATTATTACAATTTAGAATATTTAAAATTATATATAAATTAAATTTAATGATTATAGTTATTTTTTAATATATAATTTATTTTAAAAATAATCAAAAAATTTATTTTTTATTTTTATTTTTCTATCACATTAAAAATAATTTTTATTTAAATTATTATTATTTTAAAACTAAATTAACTAATAAAAATATAAATATATTTATACAAATTCGTGTAACACCTAGATATATTTTCTAGTAATATGTAAAAACTTAAACGCAATTTAACTCATAATTTAAATTAAAAAAAGTAATATTTATGATGTTTTTAATTAAGTTATAAGATTATTTCATTAAGTTTTTCCTTATTTAATATTTTTAAGATTATTTTACTTGTCTCAATAATATGTGCATTTAGTCAAAAAGTGAACATACGTTGTTTTGTGGTTATTAGAACAAAGTTCAAAATTCTTTAGAGAGATCATAAAAATTCTCTTGTAATTCTCCTAATTTATTATATCCCATTTACTTTTGTCTTTCTTTTCTTCTTTTTATCTAAAATGGAATTGAATAGATGTAATTTAATTTAGCTTTGTTGTCATTGACGGAATTGAAATTGGGAGAAAATGTGAAGCCGTGTTTTGACATAAAAACGTTGCAGGTATGTGCATTGCTTCATTTGGTACTCGTAAAAATGTAATTTTAAAAAAGACCGTTACTCTCATAATGGCGCAGGATCGTAAATAAAACCAAGAACCAGGGGCAATCTCAGGTTCCCCATTATCCAAAAATCAAAATCCTCTTTTCTTTAAAAATATATTGGTAAAGTAATGCACTGAACTCTCAGTTTCCTTTCAATTCCCATTTTGCCCTCGAAACGTTTCCGCTCCCCCGCCTCTATATAAACACTGTCCCACCACCACAAGTTCCTTCACTTCATCTTCTCCTGCTTCATCTTCTTTCTCTCTCCTAGGGTTAGGGTATTGTCTCTTTGTGTTTCTCTTTGGAGCTCTCTGTAGTTTGTCTCCAATGGCTCAACAAGACGCTCAGAACGGCGTGTCGGAGAATGTCGCTGCTGTGTCCTTCGTCGCTGTGAAGCCCCAGCTGCTTGTGGAAGCTCCAAAGGCGAACGACGCCGTTCAGTTCTACAAGGCCGCGTTTGCCGCAGAGGAGGTTGGCCGTACACTGAACCCTAAGCGCAAAGCAGAGCACGAGCTTCCCCTCATTCTCTCAGCTGAGCTTAAGATCGCTGGCTCCTCATTTCTCGTCGCTGATATCGTTGGTGACTCTGCTCTACCGTGAGTTTCTCTCTCTGATGTTCATCGTGAGCTCATCTTCCGCTAGATCTATGAATGTTGACCGTGCTTTTCTGTTTTGTTTTGTTTTATTTTGTCTTTTGAGGTTCTAGTTTTCAACTTATGTTTGATAGTTTGTATTTTTCTTGTTATTTTTTGTCTGATATGTATGTTTTAAAATTTTTTATTCCTTGTTCCATGCTTTCCATTATTTTTATTATGTTTATGTCATGTATGCACTCGATCTGTGAATAATGGAAATTATTTTTCTTCGAAAATCGTGATTTCCTTTTTGTCTCTATCATTCTTCTATAGTTCTTGTTCTTACCTTTGGAATTTAGTGTCCTAATCTTTTTATTTGTTTGCTTGCTCTAATTCCACGGGGTTTATAAAAGTGTTTTCCACTCGCCATTTATTAATTTTATTTTTATTTTTATTTATTTTATTACTGAAAGGAGTTTTTGCATTGTTTTGTATGTTTTGTTTGTCAGAGCGAAGACTGGCGGAAACGCTGTCGTTTTGTGTCTCGAGACTGAGGATGTGGAAGGGGCCATAGCCAAGGCCGTGAGCGCCGGAGCAGTCGCGGAAGGCGAGGTGGCGGAAAGTGAAGGCGCGTGCGGTGGAGGGCGCGTGGGGAAGGTGAAGGATCCGTACGGTTTTGTTTGGAGTTTCTGCTCTCCCGGGAAGAAATGTGCTGACGCGGAAGCTTAATGGCCGTTTAGATCTCGTGATGTTCTTCTGACTGTTGCGATTTTCTGTTCTGTTTTAGTTGTAGCGTAGCAATGATGATGGAAAGGACCTACTTATGTCTAGACAAAGACAAGTCTGTTTTAGTGGATTACTATTTTATCAAGGGTTATGGCCCCTTCTATTTTGAATATTTTGAAATGGTGGTTCTTGTTTATCGATATGAATGACCTCAAGTTGACACATGGATGAAAAGCCCAGTGGTTTTTTCATTTGAAAGTTTGTAGTAGTAGCAGCATGACTATTTTGACTTGTAGTGGTTCTTTACTGTTGATTATTGATCTTGTGTTATGGTTATCTCACTTTTGCACCGCACGTTTTTGAACGAAACAGCTGGTCCCGTTTAATGTTAGGAAATTGTGTGTTTTATATTCGGATGTGAATGTTAAGGTTTTTTGAAGCCACTTGTCTGATCATGGAGTGGAACGGGCATTAATGGAGGGAGGGTTATGTATGTGAAGCGTCCGAAAGGATAGTTGGGAACCTTTTTATTGTTTATTATGTACTATGGATAATGTTATTTAAGCAATAGATTATTTGTCATTAGTATGGGTGATTAGTAGTACATATCAAAGTAAATCATTAAAATTGTATTGTTACGATGAAATGTCTGAATAAAGGTAGACTCGTTCGGGACAATATTTGAAGATAAATGTGAAATGATTTTGAAGGTTTAAATTCTCTAGTTTGTGCTCTATTGTTGCGTTGTGCCCTATCATCTCATGATGGGCAGCGGGATAAGGCGATAAGGCACAGGTAAAACCGGCTTCGGGCTGACTTTGGAGAGAAGCTTAAAATCTGCAGCGCAATGTTTTGGTTTCTGTTGTGCGGTTCCCTTTCTAAGAATAAAATTTGCATGGATCTTTTGTGAAGCAATTATAAAGTCAATCTTTTGAGTGGCAATTGTTGTAAGAATATAATTTGCATAGATATAGGGAATTGTAAGGTGTGAATCTTTCGTAAGTGAAAAGTTTATATATATATATATATATATATATATATATATATATTATTTTTTTTGGGTCTAATTACTTAAAGACAACAATAGAATTTGTTTGTGAGAGTTAAAAGCATTTAGTCATAGTATTTATTAATTCTAGTAACAGCAACTAGCAATATTTATATAAATATTGGATCAAGGGGCCAGCGACGTCGAATTAATATCGCATTGCAATAATTCAACCAAAAAATTATACATAAATTAATATCTATTAATATCTCATCCCAACCGTATAAATATCAATATCGCACCGCAACCATTCGAATTCGGATCATTATCGCATATATATTTATGTGATTATGATTTTAATTCTTAAATTGAATAACTTCAATTTCAATTTTATTGCTTCTGTCATTGTTGTGACGTGATAAACGTGATTTAAATTATTGTTAAGATATTGTGATGCAATATTAATCTGAATACGAGATGTTGCGATGTGATATTGATTCGATATTTATGCATTATTTTTTATGAGTTATTGTGGTGCAATATCGTTGCTGGCTGCTTGATCCAATATTTATACCATGTTATTGTTGGCTTCAAATCTTGTCTCTCTCACTTGTTTGTTGTAGAGAGAAAGAAAAAGCAAGGTCCTTAGACGAGTAGGCAAGATAGATAGGGGCGCAAGCGCAAGCGCTAAAATAAAGCCTTTTGCGCCTTTTTCTTGCTAGGAAGAAGCGGGGTAAAGTACTGGTGAATTTATCAGGCTCGTGACCTTAGGATTATAAATTCGAATCCTTCTCTCACCTTTCAACCTCATAAACACATTTCATTATTTTCTAAGTATTTTCCAAGTATTTTAGGAAAACGTGATTAAGTAAAGAAAGATTTTAGTTTTCTTTTTGTTTGAAGTTCAAAAGGTGTTTTAAAAGTAGATTTACTAAGAACTCTATTAAGAATGTAAAGGATTATTTTTAAGACTTCATCCTACAAAAATTTTGACAAGTTACATTTACTCATCATATCTTTGTGTCCTATTACGCTTTTTGGCTATACTGTTTGTTCAGGACTCTTAAACATAGTGTATTATGAAACTATTTCATACAAGTATAAAGCAAATGATTCTATATGTTGTCCAGTAACACCGTATTTATCAAAATACTATTCTCTACCACAGTCAGATATTACTCTCTGTGATCTTTTTTATAAGAAACAAAATAGAACATTTTCTTGGTCATTATTATAAAAAATAAATAATAGATTCAAGATGCATTAATTGCTAAATTTCTTTTATATCCTTCTTTTATTAATACATTAAATATACAAATTACTAACTACACCATTTAATATCATGTGTATTTTTAGAATAAAATTTATATTTATGAAAAACATAACAGAATTAATTGCTTTCCTTGGTCCTGATGATTTAATTTTTTGTTTCTTATAAAAAGAATCGGAGGGAATACAAACTTAATCATTTTTCCTAATTGATTCTCTACTTCAATTTTAAAAATTTTGAATATTTTAAGTGCTTCAAACTTTTCTTTAATTAAATAAAGATATCCATATAAAAAAAAATCATCAATAAATATAATGAAATATCTTTTAACCATAAATTGTAGGAATTAGATGTCTATTAATATAAATGTGAATGATCTCTAATAAGTTTGTATTCCTAATTGCACCTTTTTTTTTTGTCTTAGTAAATTTTCTCCTAATGCAACTTACACAAGTTTTCAAATCATTAAAATTTAGTGAAGATATAATATTTGTCTTTGTCAATCTTTCAACTCTGTCTTTAGAAATATGACCTAGACGTTTGTGTCACAATATTAAAGATTTTTCCTCAACCTTAAATCTTTTAGCAATAGAAATCTCAACAATTAAAAATAAAGAAATATTATTAGAAGTTAAAGATAATTTATATAAACCATCAACTAAAATCATGATATTATATAACAAATTATGTAATCACTGATAATTATGTAATTATATGAGTTGTTTCACAACTTGCCCCATCAAGAGTTGTGCGTTGGGAGTGTGATTTACAAAGGAAGATATAACCTCTCACTTTTCACATAATTCAGATTTCAAGTACGACGACTTCTATTACAAAGGTTATGTCTTCAACAAAGAAGCGTAAAACTCTATTATAATTATTATTTGTTTATGATTATCTTTGGCGTTCTAATTTCATATTAAAGATCAATTACAAATTTTGTTATTACACCCTGTGTTTAATACTTTGTTCATTGAGTTAGGTTGACATTTTATGGTAAATAAGAAAGTGTTGTAGAATCATTGTAACAGGTCAAATGGATTGTGTTGAATTTGGGGAGGAGGATTATGTAGTGTTATCAAGAATATGATCTTAATCGTGAGATCGCATGATTTTAAGATCTTGCTTCGTCTCCATGATCTGGATCACTTGAGATCTCAATCTTTTTTAGTAAGATCATGGAATCAACGATCAAATCTAATCACGATAGTTAAGTCAAATATAATGATCCAATTAACAAAGCCTGTTTTCTATTACTTTTTTGACTCGGGTGCTTCGCATTTTTTGGGCATGCTTTTATGTGGGTGGGTTTGCATTCTCTAGGTGTGGGTGAGTCTTGGTTCTCTAAGTATCTTGTGGGTATTTTATTTCGCTACTAAACTATGGCCGTTAGGTACATCATGGTGGTTATTCTATTTTCCTTATGATTTTGTGTTCTTTCATCTTTGTAAGACTTTTAATATTAGAAATGAAGTTGGTGGTAGTATTTCAAAGCTAAAAAAAAAGTTTTGGTTCAAAAGTAACAATTAATGGATTGAAAGTCAATACTCCATACAATGGATGAAAATCTTATGGTGTACAGTATCAAGAGGTGTAAAGATTTGTTATTTGTATGTTAAACTTGACATTTAACTCATCTGGATGTGAGCATAATTAGAGTACTTTATTTAGGATCACACCAAGAAAAGAAATCGTTTAAAAAAAAAGATGATTAATGATGTTGCATTTGTCATGACCAACTCAAAATTGGGTAAGGGTATCAAGAGGAGAAAAAGTCTAACTTTGACATTAAGGATATTGCTTCTAATGATGATTGGAATATGGTGGAGAAGAATGAGCTAAAATCATATATGGATTTATATGAGAATTTGATTCAAGTTGGAAAAGCAAGTAGTGTTGTTGGTAGTGCAAGTACACCTATGAATGATTTGAACCTCTTCCACGGAGCTTGCAAAATATATTTTAATAGATTAATGCTAGTTTAATAGACTAGCAAAACATCCTAATTTAACTAATTATATGTTGTATTAGATCTTAAATAAATGAGTTTTAAGTTTATATTTAATTAAATTATGTAATTTAGATGTTAATTTCTTTATCTATATTATTTTCTATACTTATAAATATGTTTAAGTATAGTTTTACATGTTTAGTACGATCTTACGATCCAACAATTTACAATCTTTTACCCCTTCTTGATCTTAGGTAAGATCTTGATCTTGATAACATTGGTTTCATGATTTCTATGTAGTTATTTAGCTCATTTGTTTTTTAACATTGAATTTTATTATGGTATACACCTAAATTGTGTCTTTGTGAGTTTTTATTAATAAATATTCTATATTTTGAGATAACTTTTAATAAAGATATATTTTTTTAGTTGATTGTAGAACTTAAAAGTGTCAGTTTTCTTGATGAATTGACTTGATTAACACTCATTTGGTAATAGACATAATAAGTGAATATATTAGAGTACATGTACACTAATATATATAAATACCCTTTTCTAATATTTCTACACTTTCATTATATTTATTCGTTTCTTGTGCAACTTCATCTTCTCATGTGTCCTTTTATTGGGACATAAGAAAATACTTTCAAAGAAGTGCCAAAAAGCAAGAGAGTGATGCACACAAATAAAGATGATTATCATGGGAATAGACATTCTATCATTGTCCAAAACACACCTTTGAGTCATTAGTCCACAAGTTCCTTGGATGAAAGGAAAATGGAGATTCATTAATAGCTTTCTCGGCAAAACTTGTAACGTTTTCATTTTAATTTTGCATAATTCTTTTATTTATTACTGCATTTTTATTTTAAAATAAATTTTAAAATTTTGGAAGTTGCTAAATGTATCGTTCAAGTAAGACAGGGTTTTCTGGACT